CTCCTATACACACATGAAGTCCACTGAACACAGAGGGACTTCTGTAGAGAGTAAACATGCATTGGATTGCTCTGCAAGACTTATTGACTTCAGTGGGATGGAAATCAGAATATAGTAATTTTTGATTAACTGAACTGGTGATCTGGTTATTATGCATTTGTGCTGCTTTTCCACACATAAAAAGAGGGTTTTGTCCTGAAAATTCTGCTAGAATGTGTGGTTCATCCCACAACATGAGATGAAGCAGTATAAGTAAGGATTAAAGTATTGAGTCAATGACTGATATTTCCAAGATATAATCCTTGCACCCTTTTCTTGTCTTTCATTAGAAAACTGATTATCAGCATGAATTAGCAAAACATGCAAGCTTTCTTAAAACATACCCAGTTCCTCTTCACTTTAGCTCTTTCAACTAATTTTTGATGTAGCTCTTTCCCAATCCCATTTCCAAATCTTTTTACTATGTCAGAAGTTCTTTGATATTCTTCTTGATTTAGGAAAGGTCTCACTGCAAAACACAAATGTTTAGTTAAACAAAAATGTCCTGAACCTTTTTATGACTGTACTTCCAAGTTGCATTTATGTTCCAAAGTTCAAAATCAGTGTGCAGAAAACAAACAAAAAAACCAACTGCCACGGCTGACAGTATCTGTAAATAGTTATTTCTTAACAGCTGAATGTTAATGAGACAAACACAGTGCAGGTTCATACATGCAAACCCATCTCTCTTTTTTAAAAAAATAATTTTTATTAAACTTTCCATTTAACAATCCAATCATATCACATTAGTTATTCCAAATTATACCAATACATATCATTAAGTCCAAATATTTTGCCAAATTTTAAATTTTTGTTGGGGGTTCCCATGCTTCGAGTTCAGTAAGGGTCCAATCACCTCATATTTCTGCTGCTTTTGGTCATGCAAACTCATCTCTGTAGTACTAAATGACGGCTTACATGTGCAGAAGAATTGTTATAAATTAATAACCACAAACAAAACTTCCATTACCATCCAGTATCAACTGAAACACAATGTTATTGGAATGGACAGAGTTTGCACATGTGACTTAGTTAACAAGACTAAGAAGATGCCTGGGTGAATTACGGTAGCCTGTAGTCACTACACTCTCAAAGTAAAATGGAAAGCTCACATTGAGCCTGAACAGTAACCAGTGTTCAGTAGATATATCATAGATATAAGGTATTGTTTTTTTCCTTTGAGAAGGAGTGTCACCACAACTAATCCCGAGAAGATGAAGAGTGAAACAACATGGTCAAGTCCTTTGGCAATATTTGAATATTTTGCCAAGCCTATATTTTAAGTATAACTGAGCTAGGGCTATTTCTGTACTGTAAAATCTGCAAATTGCTCTCCTGCCCTTTTGCCAATCAGAATAGAGCCAAATACCATGCACACCCTATTCCCTGGCTAGGTTTCAGATTATTACACCTGAAGAAAAAACAGTGAGCCATGGAAGAGTCAGGCAGCAATAATCACTCAGTGATTATCCACCATTGCTAAATCGTGCTGGCAAGCCTATGTCTATTTACCAAGTCTGCTTGTTTTCTATTGAACTTCTTTCAAGTGTGCATATTGTCAGAGACCTTACACTGCAATTCTAAGGAGCATTCCAACAGACTGGTATAGCTTGTAAATTGACTCTTAAGGACACAGTCATTACAGTGCTTGGCTGGAGAAATCTGAGGCTATTTGATTCTTAGGCCTATGAAACTTTTAATAGATTAAACTTAAAGGACACAATGTACAATGACAACTTTATACATTGGCACAAATGCCCAATGTTTAGGAAGATATTCAGTGATAGTTGGGAATTATTTTTATTCAGAAGTGTTGCTAAAAAAAAAAAAAGTATGCAAGTCCTCGGTAACAACCATTCTTTTCTAATAATGTTTCATGAAAAATGAAAACTTACAACAATAAGGGTTGCAAGTATTAATCAACTACGGCTTTAGTTGATCAAGCAATCAATGGGAGCTAATTTTATTTCCAACCAAGGTATCCAAACCCTAGTGGATACAACCCATCTGATTTTAAATCGTGAATATAAGAGATAAGGTTACAAGGAACATTTTTTCAAAAACTATATGGCTTGTAACAGGAATAAGAAAATATTTTTTCCCTTCTAGTAATGACTGCTATTTTTTGGCTTTAAAACTGTAACATCTCATAGTTCTTTGGGTATTTCAAACAGGTATTATAGTTTGAAACACTAGACAATCTAGACGATACACAAATTTATTTACATTTACAGCTCAATCCTACTCAGAAGTAACCCCCACTGAGTTCCATAGTACTCTCTTAGGCTGCAACCCTATACACAATTACCTGATAATAAGTTCTTTATTAACATCTTAATTATTGTTTCTAAGCATGGTGTCACTTACAGCTTCAGTATATAGAAATCTGCTGTACTTTGAAGGTTGTTTGCCTTGGGTAGGAACCAAGTAATTTTAACAAGGACACTGTCATGGTTTCAAGCTCCTCCCATTTGACTTTAGAAAGTGCAGAGTTGGATAACGCTTTACAACCTTTGCACAGTTCAGTGGCAAACATTTTTATTGTGACTTCATGTGCTTTAAATATTGAAAGCATACTGGTACATTTCGTGCTAACTCTGCAAATAAAGTAATGTATTATAGCAACTGTGTTTCAAACTCCTTAGTACTTTCAGACTCTTAACATGCATGAAGTTATTTGACTAAGCAGACAAAAAGCAGGTTATTCTTTCCATGTTACTTAAGTCTTTACCCACAATAAACATTAACGTTTGTTTAAGACCTGAATCGAGGTACTTCCTTAAAGATTCGTCAAGAGCAGGAACGGGCAGTGAAGGGAGTGAACTCTGATACTGAAATGTACGCTCTTCGGAAGAATCAGTCACTTGGTTTTCCATGACGATCTGCAGAAAACAGCATTTTTTAAGAAAAATAAAAATAAACAGACTCCTATGAACTGATTGCACTTCCTGATCTGTCGTTAATTCATTTTACTTGGGTCATTTACAATGTAAACTTCTCCCACGATCCAAGTCAATTTGAATGTCCCTGCCTGTTTAAAAACAATCATACCTTTTACTCCAGAGACTTCACGCTCTCCTTCTGCTGGAGTGCAAATCTTCTACAGACCTTTTTTTAAAAGTCAAAACTTCAAAGCTATTCCCTCACAGCAAAGCTTCTAATCTGTGGGAACGGGAAACAGAACTGCAAGTCCTGGGTGTGCCTAGTGAAAAAGGTATGAATCCCGCCCTTCTGAAAGATCATACAGTGGACGCTCGGGTTGGGAACATGATCCGTGCGGGAGGCACATTTGCAACCTGCAGCGTTCGCAACCCGCAACCCGCACATCTGCACATGTTGCGATTCAGTGCTTCTGCGCATGCGCAAGCGCCGAAACCCAGAAGTAACCCATTCCAGTACTTCCGGGTTCGGTGCGGTGCGCAACCTGAAATTGCACAACCCGAAGCATCTGTAACCCGAGGTATGACTGTAATCTAGAGGGGCTCTCAATGCCACTGAAGTTGATAATGATATGCAAATTTAAGTACAACCAAACCACCTTGTCCAGCTTATGAATTATAGTAATTAATGTATAGTAATAATACATCATGATCTTAGTATCATACTCAATTGGGTTTACCCAACATGTATTTTCCCTCCATGGTACATATCATGATACCTCTTAGTGACAACCTTACACTATATTATTTCAATCCCTGCCCTTTGTTTACCACCAGGAGGTTGTTGTGTCAGAAGTCCAGAACAAGCCAGTCTTTACTGATTTTTGTGAAGCATCTTGGGCACCCATGGCAACAATGTTCCCTGACTGCGTGCTCTGCCTGCCTGGCCCTTTGCAAAAGGTAATCTAAAATGCATTTATTTTTCAGGGCGATTGAGAAACACACACTTCACTTTCTTCCCGAACCCTGACAACGTTGCTATCATTTCTCGTGCATACACCATCTAATACGCCCTAGGTGCTTCCCAAAAAGTGAAACTACAAACAGAGGCAGCTGACAGCTTACGCAGGCTGCATATACACACTGTGCGTTGAAAATACATCCCCCCTCCCAAACGAACCCCAAGAACAGTCGTTCATTCACGGACCTACAATCCACAGCACCCTTAACAAGCCACGGTTTCCAGGATTTTTTTGAGGGGAGGGGAAATATGCTTTAAATGTGTAGGCAACCCTAGTTTCGCAGTCAGGTGCCCTGCGTTCAAGTTGCAGCTGGGGCTCTACAGTAAGCAGTTGCAGGGACAGTAGCGGGCTAAAAAAGTTTTGCTGGTGGCGTCAGCCCTAGCCCAGGACGGCTTACTGCACAGCAAATCAAGAACACAAAACTCTGTCACGCTCCGCTGCGAACTTTGCCTGTTTTCGCGTTATTGTTTTTTTTTACAGAATTCATCGGGCTGCGCTTTGCAAAGTGTCGAGTTTGTTTACCTCTGGCTGCTGAGCTGCAGAAACAACAGGAGGCGGCTTATGGGGTGGGGTGAGGGAAGGAGACAGGAGAGCAAGCAAGGCCCCCCAAAAACTCACTTGCGGGGCTCCCACCCCACCCGGGCGCCCTCCTCCTCCTCCTCCTCTTCCCACAGCGCTGCGCTGCCTTCCCCTACCTGAGCCCCCGCGCCTGGCAGGCCGCGCTGCTTGCTCGCTTTCCCGCTCGGAGAGGCCTCCGCGTAGCAGTCGGGGTCTTCGCCGCCGCCCGTCCCTCGGCCTCCAGCCCAAACAGTGAAGCCGGAGTTGCTCAAGCGGGAGCGGCGGGAGGCGGAGGCTTCTGCTTCTTGGCTCGCTTCTCCTCTCACCTTTACCCCACATCCAGGCCTGCTGGGAAGGAGGAAGTGCCAGCGCCTGGCGGGGCTTCTCCAAGGCGGAGCGCGCGGTGCGCAAGGCGGGTTGGAGGCCGGCCTTGGGCCGCCTGGGCTGGGGCAGGGCCGACGCGGAGGGAGAGACCCGGGGGCGCCGGGAGCAGCTGCAGGGGCGGGAAGCAGAGCAGACCGGGCGGCCCCCGCTGTCTGTCGCCTCGCACGCTTTCTAACCCCGCGTCGTCGCCCGACCCACGTGCTGCATTTCTGAAGAGCTGCTGCGCGCCACACCTGCTCCTTATTTTTTATTATTAAAACGCCGTGCTCCTTTTAAAGAAGCGGTGCGCGGAAAGAAAAAAAAAACAACGAAAAGAAAAAGCACTTCCTGGCGGAGTTTGGCAACGAACCCCGTGAATTTCGTTGGGATTTTGAACAGGTTTTCCCACACCCACTCACAGCAACTCTTAAAAGAAGAGCGCATCCAGGTGTCCACAGGATATATACACACTGTAAAAAATCGCAATCGTGCTTGCTGATGCTGCAGCCAGAGGCACAAAGCCAGAATCTTAAGGATTTCTTACCGCTGCCAAAACTTCTAATTATGGATCGCATTTGAGTCCGTGGGACACACCATGGTTTGGGGAGGGTCCCCTCTGGAAACTGAGAAGATCCATGCTACTTAAACTTTTGCACCATGGAACCCCCGGTGCGTGGTTTCCCCAGTGCAGTCTATGGGCGCTGATGTGATCTGATATGTGATTCTTTCCCCCTAACAATCCTTTCCAGGTGACTCCCTTCAGAACTTTTCTTATAGATGTCTTATGTGTAGATTTTCTGATCCTAGGTATTAGAGTTCCTGCCAACCTAGCAGTTTGAAAGCACGTCAAAGTGCAAGTAGATAAATAGGTACCGCTTTCTGTGCGCTGCTCTGGTTCACCAGAAGCGGCTTAGTCATGCTGGCCACATGACCCGGAAGCTGTATGCCGGCTCCCTCGGCCAGTAATGCGAGATGAGCGCCGCAACCCCAGAGTCGGTCATGACTGGACCTAATGGTCAGGGGTCCCTTTACCTTTACCTTATGTATTAGAGTTTTTTGGAAGCGACATTACTCAGAAGAATACAAACATTAACAAAAATGCAAGAAGACTGCAATATAACGCAACCATAATTATTACCACACCCGTACTACAGATTGCAAAAGGTATGGAGGTATTCCCATGAACAGTGTATATAAATTAGTCAACGCATCTCAGAAATTTACTTCTAGTGTTGTATTAGTAAGGATATTAGTGGGGCCCTCTACAACATTTCTAATACCAATTATATAAGTAACACAATCAAAGCTAAAATTAAGCCTCAGCTGAAACTGGTGTATGTGTGTGTGTGAGAGAGAAATCTTGTTTGCCCCAAACTTCACAATTTTAGTTATTGTTCTGGAGCCTTGCAAAAAGAGGGAAATCTTCACCCCCATTCAAAGTGAAAGTATGAAGCACTGGCCTTTCTCCAAGCTGGCTTTGTGACATCATCATTTAGCCAAGTCTGATTGTCTGCAGGATAATGTGGCATCATCACATCAGGAAAAGGTAGATTCAAATTAATTCCCAGTCTTCATTTTGTACTACGGTGAGAAGGCATCTGCCACATATAAATAAAATGTCTTGATAGCTCATCTGTTTCTTGGAAGTGTGGGCCACAAAGAAATGCGTAGCTGACAAACTAAATGACAATTCCGATTGCTGAATTTTGCATCTTGCCTGTTTCAGATGACCAGGCCATCTTTTAAACATATTTGTATCCATATTAATCCATAGCATTTAATATTTCTTAAGGGAACATGTATTTATTTTTATTTAAAGCACAAGCCATTTTTAATACTTGCAAAATAGCCTTGGGGCAAGGCTTTGAAGTGTCAAAGATAATCTGTGCTATGTGGTTTACCTAACCATTTATTTACTTGATTTATATACCACCTTTATCTTCCAAGGAGCTCAAGGCTATCCTACTCCTCATTTCATCATCACAACAAGCCTGTGGGGCAGGTTAGGCTAAGAGATGGTGACTGGCCCAAGGTCACCCAGTGAGCTTCATGGCTGGGTGGGGAATTGGACCCTGGTGGTCTCCCAGGTCATAGTGCAATACTCTTAGCCATCATGCCACACTGGAAGATTAATACAAACTCTAGTGAGTTCATTCCCACTGAGACCCCACTGCTTAAATAACATTTTGTTGTGAGGATGAAATGAAGTTCTGGAACCCAGCTTACCTGACATTGACATATATAATCATTGTGTCAATGTGGAAACCTCATTGTTTGTTGGGTCACTGCCACCCCCAAACATGGCTTGACTGTTGCAGTGTGGCAGATCATCCACAATTGGCTCTCATATGTTGTGTTAAGTTTATTCTGGTTTTTGTTTTCTCTTTTTCTACAATATGGACCCACTGGTCTGCTGTACAGTGTTATATTTCTGCCAGTCAGTCATAAAAACATAGGAAGCTGACTTGTACTACACTAGTTTAGAATTGTGTGGCCGGATTTCAAACAACAGTCCCTTCCAATCCCAGCCCTACCTGAAGACACCAGAGACCTCCTGCATGTAAAACAGTTGCTCTACCAAATGAGCTATGGAGGTTCTTCTCAGTTATTTATCAAACTCTGGCTACTTGATCAGTAATTAGTCAAATGTGGGGTAAAGTAAACAAACCAAGTCAGAAAGTTAGTCTGAAAATCTCCAGTTTCTACACTCCCACCAACTTCCTTCATTTTAGATGTGACTTGTCAGTAGTTCCAGCAACCCCACTCCAAATCTGCAAGCTTGTGTTTCTTGGACTAGATCTTCTCATGGTCTTCCAACTGCACTAGGTCTCACATCCAGTCTCCCATATCTATATTTCCAGTACTGGAAGTTTATTCCATTTGCTTCTGATGTGACCTTGCCTTGCCTCTTTTTTGTCCTTATGACAGACGTGACTTTAATAGGATTGTAGAACTGACACCCACTATATCCAAATTGATTCTGGTTTGTACTTCTTTTGAAAAAGGATCTATGGGGATTGGGGGGAGGCTTTCCACAGGGGGTGTTTCAGATCTGTCTGCATTTCCAGCATCCATCTGTTGGCAAAATGCCTAGGTGTTTAAAGTTAACTGGTGGTCCAGCAGACCTGATGCAGTATTTTTTTGTTGAATCAACCTCAGTATATCGCATCACAGTCTGCCCTCAACTAGCCTCCACCTACCAGCCAACTTTACAACCAGTCAGGGAGCGGCTGCACCTACTGTTGGTCTCCCTGCCTTCCACCCCACCAGCCCCAATGAGCACCAGCAACCACTGCGGGGATGGTTCAGTTAGTTCCAGCTCCCCGGTGTATTTCCACATAGTCAAGCAAAGGTACCGTACATGTGGTTTAAGTGAAGCTCGCAGGAGAACAGCAACCTCTCAGTCAGACTGTAGGGCATGTTGCAGCTTGAATGTCCAGAAGATGGCAGTGTTGCCTACAACAGTCGCAAGTACGGTACTTTGAAATCCTTTGTCCTTACCAGAGTTTCAGCAGAATCTTATACTATGTTTAGTTTGTCTAAAAGATGTAGTTGTTTTCTTTCAAACCATCCTCTGCATTTGACTTCTTTGCCTACTTAAAAAAACAAAAACGTGTGTATTGGCAGTTTCTGAACTTGTAAGTTCTGTCTGTTGGTCATAGCTGCAACAGTGGACATCATTTATCGCACTATAAATAAATCAGGATGTTTTGCCCAGCGAGTTGGATGAGTATTTGTGACTCCATTAGAATATAATACCTGCTTGAGATAGCCAGAAAGAGTATAACTGATATTGTAGAATGCCGAACTTGCAATCTAAGTGACTTTTAGATTCTGAGTGTTCAAGAGAACAAGAGAAACAAAATAGAAATGAAAACATATACAAAAGCAAGGTGTAGAGTCAGATTTATGTTGCTTTTGTAGTTGGGTTGCAATAATGATGTATTGGGCTAGGAGAGACCTACCTGCTGATTCCATCTCCTGCTATCAGTACTCCTGCTATGACATCACACTCCCAATAGCCTCATTTGGGGGGTGTGTGTGTGAAGTCTTTAACCATATTTAAGGGAGCCTTTAAACATTCAGAAAAAACTTGAGTCACAAATGGCCCTAGCAGTGTGACCAGTTGCTGCTGCACAGCCTTGCTGCCCATCAAAAAAAGGACTCACAGATGCAACCTTGCTACTAATGAACTTCTCTCCCAGGCAGTAGCAATGGTATATTTACCAGAGTTTTCTTTGCAGGTGCTGATGTTCACTGCAGCCTTTAAGGTGATGGCATCATGGCCCTGGCCAATGAGGATTTTTGCCCAGCCTGGGAATGTAACTGCTAATGTAGATTATCAATACTGCTATTATTACACCAGGTAATACCTAAATTGGGACGCAGGTGGCGCTGTGGGTTAAACCACAGAGCCTAGGACTTGCCGATCAGAAGGTCAGTGGTTTGAATCCCCGCGACGGGGTGAGCTCCCCTTGCTCGGTCCCTGCTCCTGCCAACCTAGCAGTTCAAAAGCACGTCAAAGTGCAAGTAGATAAATAGGTACCACTCTGGAGGGAAGGTAAACGGTGTTTCCGTGCGCTGCTCTGGTTTGTCAGAAGCAGCTTAGTCATGCTGGCCACATAATAATAACAATAATAATAATAATAATAATAATAATAATAATAATAATAAAAAATAATTTTTATTTATATCCCGCCCTCCCCAGCCGAAGCCGGGCTCAGGGCGGCTAACAACACTAAAACAGTGCAACATTATAAAAACATTATAAAAATTAATTAAAATACAAATTGATGGCAACCATAAACTAAAGTTTTGTAAAGATTGCCAAAGGAGGGAGTCAGGCTGCGCCCTGACCAAAGGCCTGGTGGAACAGCTCTGTCTTACAGGCCCTGCGAAAAGATGTCAAGTCCTGTAGGGCCCTTGTCTCTTGCGACAGAGCGTTCCACCAGGTTGGAGCCGCAGCTGAAAAAGCTCTGGCTCTAGTTGAGGCCAGCCTAACCTCTCTGTGGCCTGGGACCTTCAAGATGTTTTTATTTGAAGACCGTAAGTTCCTCTGTGGGGCATACCAGGAGAGGCGGTCCCGTAGGTACGAGGGTCCTAGGCCGTATAGGGCTTTGAAGGTTAAAACCAGCACCTTAAACCTGATCCTGTACTCCACCGGGAGCCAGTGCAGCTGGTATAGCACCGGATGAATGTGATCTCGCAGCGAAGACCCCGTAAGGTGTCTCGCTGCGGCATTCTGCACCCGCTGGAGTTTCTGGGTCAGTCTCAAGGGCAGCCCCACGTAGAGCGAGTTACAATAATCCAGTCTGGAGGTGACCGTCGCGTGGATCACAGTGGCTAGGTCAGGGCGAGAGAGGTAAGGACCCGCAAGCTGTACGCCGGCTCCCTCGGCCAATAAAGCGAGATGAGCGCCGCAATCCCAGAGTCGGCCACGACTGAACCTAATGGTCAGGGGTCCCTTTACCTTTACTAATACCTAAATTGAAGATCTGAAATAGAAGCGGCTCTTCTGAAAGACTCAGTGAATTTTATTTTAAATGAAAGCATCAATTGGTGGGGTTTTTTTAAGAAAGGAAAAGATTCATCTGCCCTGAAAGCCCAGTGTTATTTAATGGTTTATTTGTCTGCTTTCAAGTGCCAGTGAAGCTCCTCATATTGCTCATGGTGAGACAAAATGGACAGTTCGATAGCAGGTGGGTAAATGTTTCTCAGATTAGAAGTACAATTCACTGCAGAAATTTAGGTAGATATCATTAGGTAGGCCAGAAGAAACATATTAGAAAGCAGAAATATATTTTAGGGTTCTTCCCCCTTTTACAATCCATAAACAGCAAGTCCATTCACTTGAAGACCTTTTACATGGGAAAATTCTCCGCTTCTTACAAAACAGTGAACTGCAATTTTCTGTCCTGTGCAAAGGGCAAAAATTATTAATTTTGAAACATTTAATGGTTTTGTAACAATGAAGCAGCATCCAATTACTGAGTAAAGCAATTCCCACAGCTATCGTGTTGTACTGGCAACTGGAGTTTCCAGTCCCTTTTCAAGGAAAAAGACCAACCAGGCATCAAATGGGCACATTATCATGAGTATAGAGTAGGTCCCTGAATGGCTCTATTGAATTTGTTGTGCAAGTCACATCCAATTTCTTTCCAAACTTGTAAACTAAACTTGGAGAGGAAAGCAAGTGTTGAGACAATTGAATCCTTTGTTCAGTAGATGTAAGAACACGTTCCTTTAAAGAGATTCCTGAACTGCAGAATAGTGTTCACTGTGGCCAAAGAAATAAGCAGGGTGTTATAGCAGTTTAGTTCAGAAGCAAGCTTGGAAGGATGGGAACAGCTCACTGCAATTTGTTGCATATTTGTATTGCTATGTTGTTTCTGAAGGGCTTACATAAACTTGAACCTCTTGCAATTTATCTGGAATTAGGTCAGTCGTTCCTTTGGATATTTTTTTGTTCCTCTGGCAGAGGACCAGGCTAACCATTTCCATTTTATCCCAAACAGTTACAGCTCATGGAAAAAACACTGAGATTTCAAGAACTGGCTAGTCCACTGAAGTAGTTCAGCACGTCCCACTTCCTACATGGCGAGAAGTTCCAAGGCACTGGGCTGGGATAACCCAGCCAGATGGGCGGCAGATAAATATCACCGTCAGCAGCAGCCTTCTTCAATGATTTACCCCACCCAGAACACTCAAAGAGCGTTCTAGTTCCCTCCCACCGCTACCTGTTCAGAATCATTAGTAGGCAACCTCCTCAGCAAAATAAATGTATGCCCAAAAACTTAAGACTCTAAAGCTGCAGTGAAATGAGATAGCATAAAGGCATTTGGCCTTAACTGATCCTTGTTCTAATTAGACATTGTTCAGTCATGTACATGAGGCCAATGGAGGCCTGTCTTCGTATGACTCTACATGCTTCCCCCAAAACTCAAATATATCCTCCTAAATCTCAAGATGTAACAGAGGTTGATAATCTGGTGTGATGAAATCTGCACAAGCAGAGATGATTACTTCACATTTTAAGGACTTTGTCATAAGTTGCAAATACGTTTTGATTGCAATCAGTCTTTTTTATTAATTTTTGCCTGTTAATTGGAATATTTCGTTCTTTTAAAGAATAAAGTGTTTCAGATAATTAATAGGTAAATTGATTTTCGGGCAAGCAAAATGCATGCAACCAGAAGCAAGTTATCACATTTGAGAAGTTTGTGTGTGGTTTCATGTTTCTTTTGCAATGGGTGTGTAGGTGTAAATACATGATTTCAAAACTTTATGCCATCTGAAACTGTCCATCAGTGCAAGACAGCTCCTATCACAGCCAGCACTGGCAGGGCTGATGGGAGTTGCACTACAGGTTCCCCATCTCTGGTGTCACTAGTTGGAACAGAAGTGCTACCAGTATTTCCTGTAAGTAAAACTAACCAGAGGTATTATAATAGCCTAACATCACTGCCGTTCCCAAAGTTGTTGAATTATTATTTTTCTACCGCATGAGTGCAAACTTTTATATTGACATAGGCAATGAGAAGATTGCTGTGAATATTTAAGTGGCCGAAACCATGAATATTACTAGTTTAAAGAGGATCCAAGCAAGCCATGTCCAAAGAAGAAAAAAGTTTATTGCAAATAATGATGTTCAGATCATTCTGAAAATGAGTAGTGCCCTTGCCTTTGAACTAATTGTCCAAAGAAAATCTACAGTCCATATTTCTGTATCATCTCATTTGCTTTAGAAATGTAAGCCTTCATGGCATCTTCTTTTGACATACCTGTAAAGGGGAAAAAATCAGCTTTATTACTATGCCTTATTTTTTATTTTCCCATGACATTATTTTGAATCAGAATAATAAAGAGCTGTAATAAATTCATCACCTTTCTTCTGGTTCCATGCTTCCCATTTTGCTTTGCCTTTCAAATCCAGCATCCCAGGACACTCTGCCAAAAGACAACAACTAAGTTTCAATAAAAACCACGCAAAGTATCTTTGAAATGAATATATAAACATGTAGGTATGTACAAAGTTACCAATATTAATATTTCCCACGGTCGACTGCTTGTAGAGTCCATACAGTTCTTTTAGTTCATCATCAGTTGGTTTGGTCTTTAGTTTTTTTACTTTTTCTGCCACAGTGTTGAAGTCGGCCTGAAGAGAGGCAAAATAAAATAAAATAAAATAATAATAATAATAATTATAATACAGTGGTGCCCCACAAGACGAAATTAATTCGTTCCGCAAGTTTTGCCGTCTAGCGAATTTTTCATCTTGCGAATTATTATTTAGACAAAGGAAACAAAGTCGCGAGACATTTTCGTCTTGCGAAGCAAGCCCATAGGGAAATTCGTCTTGCGAGGCAACTCGCAAACGGAAAAACCTTTCGTCTAGCGAGTTTTTTGTCTTGCGAGGCATTCGTCTTGCGAGGTACCACTGTAATAATAAATCCCATAATTATTTCACTTTAAACAGCCATATATTGCTTCCAAGGAGTTTGATGCTTCAGGGAGGAGTCTCTCTGAGCCCCACCTGTCATGCCAGAGATTCAACTTGGGACCTTCTGAAACACAAGTCAAATGCTCTACCAGCGAGTTATGCTAAGAAGCTTCCCATGCAAGCAGCAGTTGCATGCAGTCAAGTTGTAGCATCGCTTGAATCCCACTCTCTTTCTCTGTGTAAGCTGCAATGCAGATACGGAAGACACTGAGCATCTTTCCAACTCTGTTCAATATCAGCTCTTTCAGCAAGCTGGGTTGTTTTTTGTTTGCCTTGGTATTTTTCTATTCTTGGGTATAAGGTTTCATTTGAAGTAAGCCAGTTTAATCAGTCTGATATGGCTACAAGAATGTCACATTATACTACCAGGCCAGAATATGCTCGTCTGCGATGGGACCAATATTTAAAACCACTTCCTTCTCAGTCCTATGCACATTGGTTCAAAAGTCCCAATGGACCTGCTACCAGGAAAGCAAGTATAAAATGGCAGCCTTAATGCAGGTTTATTTTCTCTGTAACACTTTAATGATCAGCAAGGGGCTAATTTGGCTCACTGATTTTAAAGCATGTTTATAGACTTGGAATTACCTAGGTAAAGGTAAAGGTACCCCTGCCCATACGGGCCAGTCTTGCATAATTGGAATTACCTACCCAAGTTTATTTTCGAGTAAAAAGCATGAGATTTTATTATTTCCATATCAGTATCACAGTGTTCCACCACAAAACAGGTTTATGCTCATTTTATCCTAAGATTTCTGTCAGGCGGGCTAGGGGGAGCTAGCAGCTTGCCCAGGGGTCAGCAAACTTTTTCAGCAGGGGGCTGGTCCACTGTCCCTCACACCTTGTGGGGGGCCAGACTATATTTTTTTGGGGGGGGGAAATGAACGAATTCCTATGCCCCACAAATAACCCAGAAACGCATTTTAAATAAAAGGACACATTCTACTCATGTAAAAACACGCCGATTCCCAGACCGTCCATGGGCCAGGTTTAGAAGGCGATTGGGCCGGATCCGGCCCCCAGGCCTTAGTTTGCCTACCCATGAGCTTGCCAAAAGGCCTCATTTTGGGCTTCATGGCTGCCATCTGTTCAATATTCTGTCAGCTCTACTGATTTTCGACTACACTGAGGTCAGAACTACATTACATGTGAAACACAGATACTTCTGTCAAGGATTAAAGTTCTGCTCCCGTGTTTCTCCCTAATGGGCATGCTCAGTTAGCTTGCATTGTCATATAACCACACTAGTGATGGAACCACATATTGTGAGCAATCAACAACCCAAGTTCTTCTGTCTTTGAGCTGAAAAAAGACAGTTGTCCCAAGTTCAATATTATTTTTTATAGAAAAAGGTTTCCTTCCCATGGGTGGGGGGAGAGAATGGTTTTTGGCTGCAAACAGCTTCTTCTACCCTAATCCTCTCAAGACCAAGTGTGTGGCTTTGATATTTGCACTAATGACAGCTCCCAAGAGCAGGAAGCTCTGGATAAGTGAATCCAGTAACTCAAGGATAGAGTATACGTTTTTGTGAATTAGGTCCTAGAACAGACAATGATGTTTTTAAAAAGAGAAACGTATGGGACTGGAAAAGCTATTTTTCAGTTCTCTTTGTCAGTCTCTAAGAATCACAGATCATGTTTCAAGAATTCTAAATGAAGAACCTGACTAGTTTTAAATATGCATTTATATAACACATTGGCTACTTTCCCCACACAAAACCCCCTTAAAAATAAAGATGCTAGTCTAGAGTCCACATGGTTTAGCAATCTCCTTTCCCCTTTAGAGCAGAGCTAATTTTACAAAAAGCAAGACATGCCCAGCATCTTTTTATTCTGCTACTTCAGGGTAACCTTGAGTCAGTGTCAATAATTCTCTCATCTGCCTTTGCTATGATTCTAAGTCACAAGAGACACATTACAGTGATGCAGGAAAGGAGATACTGCTCCACTATACGTAGTACAGCTCTTGTATTGACCCTTCTTCGCCAACAACTGGCATGCATTACCTATGCCCCGATGGCTACATTGCTAAGTTATTTATTTGATTAGCACTGTGAAATCTCCAGGCAGACCTGCAGTTATATGCATGAGCAGTAGGATGCGTATTTTGCGCAAAGATCATGACACAATGATCCTGCCAGAACTGAATGCCAGTTTGTGGCGAATCAATCGGGCTCTTTCTTCGCAAACGCTCTAATGTCTGTTATGAGAAATAAAGGTCAGGTTAAGCATCCTGACTATTTTAACAAAGGTGTCATAAGGAACCTCTCTCTCCTATCAGAAAGTAAAATACTGCAAAGAAACAAATAATTCAGTATGAAGCTTTCCAAATAGGCAGACGGCCAGCACTAAAATCCGGACTCTTAATCAACTCATCCTTGGCTCACAAAGATTCAGTCGTAAACTCTTAAATTCCCATAACCTCTCTCCCCACAAACATTCATTAGATGAAACAACTATAGAACATCACTGAAATTAAACAATGAGCTACTGTGTTCCATTACAGAGCAGTTATAACAGGGCACCCATTCATTACTGTGTCCACTATGTGTAACCATAGTATCCATTCATTCATTCATGCTATCCTATTTTAGACCCACTGATACAAATACCGTTACAAATTCAGAGTTGGTTTCCCACCCTTCTGTTGATTAATTCTCAGTATTCTTTCTTCCCACATGCTTCTATTAATACTAGAATAGTAGATTTAACTACACCTAGCCATAAAAAGCTTGCCACAAAATTATGGTGAACTGTCCAGTTCCAGAGGGATGTGGTTGGGTTAAACCACAGAGCCTAGGACTTGCCGATCAGAAGGTCAGCAGTTCGAATCCCCGCGACGGGGTGAGCTCCCGTTGCTCGGTCCCTGCTCCTGCCAACCTAGCAGTTCGAAAGCACCTCAAAGTGCAAGTAGATAAATAGGGACCGCTCCGGCGGGAAGGTAAACGGCGTTTCCGTGCACTGCTCTGGTTCGCCAGAAGTGGCTTAGTCATGCTGGCCACATGACCCGGAAGCTGTACGCTGGCTCTCTCGGCCAGTAAAGCGAGAAGAGCGCCACAACCCCAGAGTCGGTCACGACTGGACCTAATGGTCAGGGGTCCCTTTACCTTTATCCAGTTCCAGAGAATATGAATAGCCAATGGGATTATTACAAACTTGATCACCAGGAGCTGTTTTTCAAGCAATAGCAAGGAGCCAAAGAAACACACTTATACCCAAGTGCTTAAGTTAGTCCAGTAGTTGTTTTTTTATATACTTTGAGCAGCAATTGCCTGCCCACCCCCAGCATGCACATCATACATTTAAAAGATATTTCCCCTCCCTAAAGAATCATTGGAACTGTAGTTTTTAAAGAGTGCTTCATGTTGTAGGCCTGTGAGGCATAAATTAGTTCCAGTGATTTTTCCAGGGGCTAGAGAATGCACTTTAAACCCAGTGATTTATACACAGCCTAAATCAGTGGCCTTAACAGGGCATGGGGTCCCATACTGGTGTTACAGGAGCAGATGGCAAGTGTGGTGGGAAGATTAAAGGACAATTAAAGAAACATTTTAAAATTTCAGTGTAGTATAGTATAAGATGATATAGTATCAAAATATATTTTTCTTATTTGAAGAATATGGGTATATTTTCAAAATCAAGCACTGCTAGGAGTGCTTCTTTTTGTTTTCCAATGTATTTCTTTTCCAGTTTCTTTTCTTATCAATTTTTTATTATTATTCTGAAAGTGTGGCCTAGAGGGGAAAAGTTTTAGAACAACTGGCCTAAATCAATGCTTTTAAAAGTACCCTCTGGCTGCAATGCTATACTGTATACTTAGAATCATAGAATCATAGAGTTGGAATAGACCACAAGGGCCATCGAGTCCAACCCCCTACCAAGCAGGAAACACCATCAGAGCACCCCTGACATATGGTTGTCAAGCCTCTGCTTAAAGACCTCCAAAGAAGGAGACTCCACCACACTCCTTGGCAGCAAATTCCACTGTCAAACAGCTCTTACTGTCAGGAAGTTCTTCCTAATGTTTAGGTGGAATCTTCTTTCTTGTAGTTTGGATCCATTGCTCCGTGTCCGCTTCTCTGGAGCAGCAGAAAACAACCTTTCTCCCTCCTCTATATTTAGGATGACCCCATTGATTACTGGGACTGCACTACTCATAGGACTGCACTGTCAACTCAAACGTGGTCTGCCAGGGGCATAGCATGGGGGGGGGGCTCTTGTGCAATGTAACCCTGACATCCTTTTCAGCATGCAGACCTACCTGTGCTTTTTAAAGGATACCAACCAGGGTGGCAATGGCTTTGTAGAAAGAAGGAATCCCAGTAAATCCCCCTCTAGTTAAGAACATAAAATCTAATACTTCTTAGTGGGGGTGCTT